GCTGTGCGGCCCCGACTGCCCTGAGGGTGGAGAGGAGGGGGGTGATTTTATGCCAGGGCTGAGCTCTGCTCACTGGGGGAGAAGTGAGTTTTGGCCAGGAAGCCTGGTCCAAGCTCCTTGCCAGAGAAGTTGGGAATAAACGGAGAGAGGACAGCTCAAAAGGAGAGGGGTTAGCTGCCCAGGAAGTGACTAGATCCCTTTCCCATATGTGGGCACCTTCACCTTCACTTCACAGATGAGATGACGGGCACTGAGGTCGGGAGCCAGTAAGGGGTGGGGGGCCTTGTCCCCAAGGTAATCGGGGCCAGGGGTGACTGCTCCCTCTGGAACAGGGGTGGGAACCTTTTTGCTGCCAAGGGCCATTTGGATATTAAAAACATTCCCAGGCCACACAGAATTATCAACTTAAAAAGCTGCTGTATTTGGTTAGACATTTAATTAACTCACCACAAATGCCTGGCCGGGCCAGACCAAATGATGTCGAGGGCCTTACCCAGCCAAAGACCAGATGTTGCCCGCCCTGCCCTCGCCCTGGAGGACAGCAGTCAGGGGGAGGAGGGGCTTTCTGAGATGTTCAGGGTTTGGCTTTATGAGCCGTCTCTGCGGGGTTTGAAACGCTCCAGCGAGTTCTCCTATTTGTAGCACACAGCACTTAAGGGAATTTAATCATTTGTAAATGGTGTTAACGTTTAGGGGAATTTAATCTCGTCAAATACATAAGATAATTGAGCATTAATTGAAGAGCAAGTGAAAAGGAGAGAGCGTTGCATTTTGACTAAAATATTGGTACCTCGAGCTTGAAGAATGGAGAGAAACTTGTTTTTAAATGTAGAGCTTTAACAAGTCGAGTAGTAATTTGAATAAGACATGAGAGACCAGACTTCCAGTAGACCCTGCACATCCTGAGTTGTTCTGCTCCTGTTTTTTTGTGTATTCAAGTCTGTTGTCAGGCCCGCCACATGTGCCCTGGATCCTTGCACTATTGACATTTGGGCCGGCCATGCTTTGCGGGGTGGGGCTGTCCGTCCGGTGCCATTGGAGGGCATTTAGCAGCACCCCTGGCCTGTACCCACTAGATGCCAGGAGAGCACACTACCCCGCCCCCGAGCTGGACCCCCCCCCCCCCCCCCCTCCAGGGTCCAGCCATTGCCAAATCTCATCTGAGGATCAAACTTGACCCTGGTAGGGAACCACTGCCCTCGGCAAGGTAGCCATAAGGAGGCCAAAGAACGGGTCTCTGCACACGAGCGTGAGTGTGTGTGTGTGTGTGTGTATGTGTGTGTGTGTGATAGGGCCCGGGGACAAGGCAAACACCCCTGAGATGGGGAAAGTACAAATGTTAATTGGCTGGGGGGTTGGAGAGTGTGCAAGTTCCATACATATGAATATTTATCAGCTAGTCATTTGAGAGCAGGATGTAAAGAAGCCATCTGGGCAGGCCTTTAGGGAGAGAAAGGAGGCTTTAAAAATGTGCAAAGATGCTTATTTTTAGAGTCCAATTCCCGAGAAGTTGGCTTTGTCCTCTGAAAGCTGCCCACCCTGGGTGGCGAGTGCCCCGCTGGGTTAGGAGACGTACACCATTGCTCGTCTGCTCCCAGGTAACTGTTGTGAAGAACTACCAGCAAGGGTTAGGCAAAGAGCTGGGTGGATGCTAATAGAGTTTGCGATACTTAATTTTTATGTTTTTAAAAATACATATTTCATTGATTTTTCACAGAAAGGAAGGGGGAGGGATAGAGAGCTGGAAACATCGATAAGAGAGAAACATCTATCAGCTGCCTCCTGCACACCCACACTGGGGATATACCCACAACCAAGGTACATGCCCTTAACTGGAATCGAACCTGGGACCTTTCAGTCTGCAGGCCGATGCTCTAGCCACTGAGCAAAACCGGTTAAGGCTAATTTTTATGTTTTTGTTGGTTGTGGGTTTGATCCCCGGTCAGGGCACATACAAGAATCAACCAATGAACGCAAAAACAAGTGGAATAACAAATTGATGTCTCTCTAAAAATCAATAAATTAAAAAATTAAAAAAGAAAACAATTTACAATAACATCAAAGATAATGAAATGCTTAGGAATAAATTTAACTAAAAGAAGTACAAGACTTGCACACTGCAAACTAGAAAACATTGTTGAAATTAAAGAAATAAGACCTAGCCTGGCCGGTGTGTCAACCTATGAACCAGGAGGTCAAGGTTCGATTCCTGGTCCAGGTATATGCCTGGGTTTTGGGCTCCATCCCAGTATGGGGCCTGTGTGGTGCATGTAGGAGGAAGCCGATCAATATTTTCTCTCATCATTGATGTTTCTGCCTCTTGCTCTCCCTTCCTTTCTGAAATCAATAAAAAAAATATATTTTTAAAAAGAAATACCTAGCCCTAGCTGGTTTGGTTCATTGGATACAGCATCAGCCTATGCACTGAAGGGTCCAGGGTTCGATTCCAGTTAAGGGCACATAACCTGGGTTGCAGGCTGGATCCCTGTCCCAGTGGGGCCAGATGCCGGAGGCAACCAATCAATGTATCTCACATCTATGTTTCTCTGTCTCTCCCCCTCCCTTCCCACTCTTTCTAAAAGTCAATGGAAAAAATGTCCTCAGGTGATTAAGCAAAAAAAAAAAACAAAAAAAAACACAAAAAACAACAACAGAAAAACAACAACAAAATAAAACAACCCCCCCCACACACACACAAAAAAAAAACCCACACAAAAACCTATATAAATTGAAAGCTATCTTGGGTTTGTGAACCGAAGAGCCTAAAATTGATATACCAATATAATACAAGTCCTATAAAAAATTCCAGTTGCCTTTTCTTGTGTGACCAATAATAAAATTTAAAAATGGACAAGCAGCCGAAACCAGTTTGGCTCAGTCCTGGGTTCGATTCCCATCGGGGGCATGTATCTTGGTTGAGAGCACATCCCCGGTAGGGGGTGTGCAAGAGGCAGCTGATCAATGCTTCTCTCTTATCAATGTTTCTAGCTTTCTATCCCTTTCACTTCCTCTCTGTAAAAGCTCAATAAAATATATTAAAAAAAAAAAAAAAGCTTACCATCACTGCTCATTAGGGAAATGCAAATCAAAACCAGGAAATACTAGTTCACACCCATGAGGAAAATAAAAAAGAGTCAGGTAATAACAAGTGTCGGTAAAGATATGGAGAAACTAGATGTCTCATGCATTGCTAGTGGGAATGTACCATGGTGAAGCCACTATGGAAAGCAGTTCGGTGGTTCCCCTAAAAGTGAAACATAAGACTCAGCAATTCCAGTCCTGGGTTATACCCCAAGGAATTGAAAGCTGTTGTCCATAGAAAAAATTGTATACAAATGTTCAGAGCGGCTGTACTTATAACAGCCAAAAAATTGAAACAATCCAATTGTTCCTGTTTCTCCAGTGGAATAGTATTTGCCTGACTAAGAGAGTAGCAAAATACTGGTACACGTTACAATGTGGATGAACCTTGAGAGTATGATACTAACTGGCCCTGGCCGGTGTTGCTCAGATGGTGGGGTGTCCCATGCACTGAAGGGTTGGTTGCTGTTTCAGTTCCAGGCCAGAGCACACGCCTGGGTTGCGCGCTAGGTCCCTGGTAGGGGAGTGCAGGAGGCAGCTACTTGATTGATGTTTCTCTTTCGCATCTATGTTTCTCTCTTTCTCCTTGCTTCTTTCTCTAAAAATAAATAAAGCCCTACCTACCGGGTTTGGCTTAGTAGATAGAGCGCTGGCCTGTGAACTGCAGGGTCTGCATTCTGATACACTGAGTGTAAAATACACAGCTGTGTTTTTGAAGACTTTGTATGATACAAAATATCTTAACTTCTTTACATTCTTTCCACATGGAAAACCCAGTGTCCTGGCTATATTGTGTTAAAATGTATTAAAGATTCGTTTCATAGGTTTCTTCTCACTTTCTAACGTGGTTACTGAAACAATTGAATTGTGGCTACTTTTGATACTGGATCCCTGGTGTGTGTATTGGGGGTGGGGGGTCCGGGAAGGAGGGTAGGCGAAGGTGTCACTCATTGGTTGATGAAATAAAATGTCCCCCAGCACCCTTGGCTGGACAAGCCTAACGTGGACCACAAGGGGAACCCGTGAAGGTGGGGAGGAAGGCAGGCTTGGCGGATCACCCTGCCGCACCAGGCCCGGATGTCTCCAAGTCTGCGACTCATTTAAAGGTTCCCAAACCGCTGTTCCCCAAAGGGAGGGCCCCCTCATCATGCATGCTGATGAGCTTCACTTATTGAAGCACAAAACCGGGACAGACCACCTTCCAACGCTTCACCCCCTCATCCCAACCACCCCTGATGCAGTCAGCCTGGAGGACGGGCTGGGCCGGGGTCCTCGGAGGCCCCACATTGCGAGGTGAACTCCAGGGGAAGAGAAACGTGACCGCGCTCCTTCCTGTCCCCCCTCCCGGCGCCGCCTCCGGCGCGTAGTAGGCGCTTCTGCTCCTGCAACACCCGGCCGAGCTCAGCCGCACCGTTATGCAGACACAGGGGTGACTGACTCCCCGGGAGGAAACTCCTGGCCCCCCAAAGGGTTAAACACCGCTGACTGCAGACAGGGACGTGCGATTTATTTGAAATCAATGTCAAGAATCGGTGGTTGTGATTCCGGGGAAGAGCCAGACCTGGGCGTCTGGGAAGGATCTACGTGCTTCAAACAAAATACCATCCGCCACCATTTTCTCCAGGTAATTTTCCATCCCCGCCCCCACCGGCCGGGGACGCAAAAGTAACGCTGAAATCTTGCTCTTTCAAATGAAAGGATATATAGATAGATAGATACATTTTTTAAGCGGTAAAATAAGAAACCTCCGGGCGCTGGCCGCCAAAAGAAGAAAGGAACCCCGGGGCCCGGCACAGCCCGGACCCCGCCCCCCGCCCCCCAAACTTTGCCAAGTTGCGGCGGGCGCGGCGCGGGCGCGGGCGCGGGCGGGGCGCGGGGCGGGGCGCCTGGCGCCGGGCCGCCCCCTCCGGCCGGGCCGCCCGCTGGCTCGGCGCAAAGTTTGCGGCCGCCGCGCCCGCCGGTGCTGGGAGCGCGCCGGGCGGCGGGGGACGAACGGCCATATTTGCCGGCGCGGCCCGAGCCCGGCCGCCCAAGTGCGCGGGAGCCCGGCGGGCGCTCGGACGGCGCTCGGCGCGCGCCGGCCGCCGGGGGGATGTCTTACAAACCCGCCCTGGCCGCGCACATGCCCGCCGCCGCCCTCAACGCCGGTGAGTGCCCGCGCCCGCCCCCGGTGCCGCCGGGGGGCCCGGCCGGGGGGATCCCGGGGCCCCGCCAGGCCGGGGGCGCCGGGTCCCGGGCCGCCGCCGCCCCGATCCCGGCCCCGCGCCGCCAAAGTTGGCGGGTGCGCCGCGCGCGGGGCCGGGCGGGGCGGGGGCCGGGGCCGGGGTCGGGCTCGGGGTTCGGGTTGCGGGCGGCCGCGGGCGGGCGGGGGCGGGGGAGGCTCCGCGGCTCCTTTTTCCTCCGCTTTCGGGCGGCGCGGCGACGGCCCCTGCCGGCGGGAGGCGGGAGCGGCGGGCGCGGGGCGCGGGGCCGGGCCCGGGGCGCGGGCTGCAGGCCGGGGGCCGGGGCCGGGGCCGGGGCGCTCCGCCGGCCGCAGAGGCGCACGTGCGCGGGGCCGGCCCGGGGCAGGCGGGGGGGCGCAGGGCGCAGGGGGGACGGGGCCCCGGGCGCAGGGGCGCAGTGAATGGGGCTCCGCCTGGCGGGGAGCGGGGTTGGCGGAGCGGGACACGTGGGAGGCCCTCGGTGCGCGCTGGGGAGGAAGTTGGAGAGGAGCGGGCGCCTCTGGGTGCTGGCAGGCGGGGTGGGGGGGATGGGGGGCATCGGAGCCGGCCTTCACATCTCGGGGCGGCCCCCAAGTCTAGACAGAGAAGGCCTCCTCCAGCCCCAGTCGGGAGGGGCCACCCCCTCCCTCCCCTCCCCGGGGCTGCCGCCCGGAGGTCCCGGGAAACTCCGCAGAAGTTGTCAGGCCGCTCGGGGCTGTGCCCAGGGCCTCGCCCGGGGCCGGGGAGACCGGCCTGTCCCCGCCCCAGGTCCTGCTCCTCCAGACAGTTGGCTGGGAACAGACTTCCCCAAAAGCTGGGGCATTGGCGGGGCGGGGCGGGGTGGGGGGGGCAGAGGCCGGGAGGGGTGGCCTCCGGTCAGAATGCCACGCTGGCGCTGGCAGCCTCGCAGGTTCGGGCCTTGTCTCCGAATGTGACTCCTCAGCTCCCAGCGTCTGCGGAGGGACCCACAGCAGCAGTCAGTGTGCAGGCATGTGTACACACAGGGGAACACACGTGTACTCAACTTTCTGGATGCAGCCTTGGGGATGAAAAAGGGTTAAGATCCAGGGTGTGCATGGGGGGGGGGTGAAGGTGAAGGTGGGTTTTGAGCCTCAAGAGCAAACAGGGCTATTTTCTCAAACGTCCTCACCTGCTCTGGGGTCTGCAAGCCTCAGAGAGAGAGGCTTTGTGGGCCAGGTGGCCTCCCCCCCTCCCCCTCCTTCCCTCCTGTCATCCTCGGGGTGGGGAGGAGGAGGAGGGAGGGTTGGGGACCTTTGGGGTCCGGGGTCATGAGTGACAGGCACCCGCTCAGGAGCCCTGAAGCCGGTTCTGGGCTGCTGGCACCTGTACTCGGGTTTTCTTCTTCTCTGGCGACATCCAGGAGGAGTGCCAGGCGCCCGGATCTCCGGGGTTTGGGGGGGGCACCCCTGCCGGTGCACCCCTTTGCGGAGCCCCAGCTCCCCTGCCATTTGCATCCAAGATGGACTCTCCTCCGGCTTCCCTGTCATCCTGCCTCCTGCCCTCCGGCCCTGCCTCCCGCGCCCGCGCGGGCTGCCAAGCCCGGGCCTGGCCCGCGGTGGCAGCAGCGGCAGGAGTTAGACAAAGCCTCCGCCTCCCTCCCTCCCTCCCTCCCTGCCGGGGAGCCCCCCCCAGGCGCCCCAAGTGGCGGGAAGGCCGCCAGCTCCCCGGGCCCAGGCCGCTCTTTGTCTGGCGTGGGGGCGGGGAGGCGCTGGCCCCGGAGCTGCTGGCCTCCGAGTCCCTCCCGCCGGCCGCCTGGTCCCCGCACGCTCACCGCGGGCATTGTCTGCGGCTCGGGCACCAGCGCTCGCACCCGGGCGGCCCGGCCCCGGGTCTGCAGGAAGCAGGGGGCGTGAGTGGGACTCAGGGCCATGTGCCAACTCCCCAGGCCCACAGACACCCCCTCTGCCCTCCTGTAACACAGTGAGGGGTGCTCGGCACCCAGTGGGGTCCCCTGCCCGGACCTGCTGAGCAGTTTCTCCCCGCTCCCCACGCCCGATACCAGCCTGGGAGCGTGAGACCTTCCTGTGGGAACACTGCCTCCAGCAGAGGGGGAAACCGAGGCCTCCAGGGGGAAGGGCGTGTGTGAGGCCACCCCGCCAGGTGTGGCACAGCCGGGCTGGCTCCCCGGCCTGATAGGATGCCTGGGGGTGCCGGCCCACCCATCTTCCTGGTGCCCCAGCCTCACCCTGAGCATCCTGGGAGCTGTCCCCGCCCGCAGCGGCGGGCGGGCTCAGAATCCAGCTCTGGAGCTGCAGAGCCTGAGCTCACAGACCACACTCGGTGCCCACGTCAGCCAGGGCAGGAAGTTGGGGTTTGGCGGAGGGGGTGAGGGGAGCTCAGGGCAGCCACCCTGCCCCAGTCCTGTGCCCTGGGTGGAGTGAGCCCCCCCCCCCCTGCTGAGTAGCACGGCCCCACCGTGCAGTATTCTCCCCGCCTTAGAGGCTCAGAGCTGCCCAGAGATGTGCCCAGATCCCCTCTTGGAGTGGCAGTGTCCGTGGGTCCTGACTGGGCATCCCATGCTTTGGAAAAAAAAAATCTGTTTCTTGATTTTAGAAGAAAGGGGAGAGACAGAAACACCAATGATGAGAGAATCATCGATCGGCTGCCTTGTGCACGCCCCCGACCCTGGGGATTGAGCCTGCAACCCGGGCATGGGCCCTGACTGGGAACTGAACCGTGACCTCCTGGTTCATGGGTCACCCCTCCACCCCTGAGCCACGCTGGCAGCCCAGTGTCCCGGTGGGTAAACCCAGGGTGGGCCTGGGCGTGGACGGACAGAGGGACGGGCCTTGGGGTCAGCTTCCCCTGTGCAGTGCCCACCCTCCTGGCCCGTTTCTCTCTCCAGCTGGGAGCTCCCGGGTTCTCGAGGGCCCCTTCCAGCCCCATCAGCCAGACAGCGTCCAGAGCTGCCGCCTCCCGGCCCTCTTCTTGCCCGCACCAGATGAGCAGCTGGTCGCTTTGGCCGGCCTGGCACCAGCTGTCCCTCCCCGGGGCCAAGTCTGCCGAGCCCGCCGGCTGCCTGAGAGAGAGGCCGCTGGCTCTGCGGGTGGCGGGCCGGGCGGGCGAGGAGGCGGGCGAGCGGGCAGGCAGCTGCTGAGGAGGGCTAGGTAAATTCTCCATGGTTACCGCTGTTTGTAATTCCACAGGACATCCTCTCCCCGCTAATGGCCACTCGGACGCCATTACAGGTCCGCATGCTTCCGGCTCCTGAGCTGAGCGGGGAGCTGGGGGATTCCCCGCTGCCGGTCCACCCGGTTCAGGAGACGCCCTCCTGCCCCAGGGATCCCTCGCGGCCGAGGGACAGTGTCTCCGAGAGCTGGGGTCCCTAAGGGGGCCGCCCCTTCCCTCTTTGGGTGCAAGTCACCCGGGCGTAGACTCAGACTCCCCGGAGTCCTGTCCCCGCGCTGGAGGGGGCTGATGGGCTCGGGGTGAGGGCCTGAGGACAGGGGCCGTGGTATTCTCCAGATCCCCGGCCTGGTGCCCGTCACCCTTCGCCAGCCAGGGGGGTCGCAGCCCCGGTGTGGCCATCCTGGGCGCAGCGGGCGGTTGTGGCAGGGATGTGGCCGAGGTAGTCGGCCCCTGGGTGACGGAGACGGCGAGGGTTAGGCCGAGCGTCACAGCACCTTCCTCTTTGGTGCCCTCCCGACCCCAGGGATGGGAGGGAGGTCACCGACCACGGGAGTGGTGGTGTCTGCGGCTGCGGTGGGTGCCAAGCCCTTAGAGGCCAGGGGTCGGCCAAGGCCAAACCAGAGGGCAGGAGCCGGGGTCTCTGCCCGCGGAGAGGGTGGGCCACGGCTGATGGCGCGGGGCCGGGCAGCGGGCCTGTGGGTGGCCCCGGGTCCTCGCCTCGGGGACGGCTGGTCACAGCGACGGGGTTCCTGACTGCTCTCTCCTCCACCCCAGCGGGGAGCGTCCACCCGCCGTCCACCAGCATGGCCGCGCCCTCCCAGTACCGCCAGCTGCTGAGTGACTACGGACCACCGTCGCTGGGCTACACGCAGGTATGGCAGCGGCAGGGGTGATGGGCGGCGGGAGGGACGGAGGAGGAGAGGATGGATGGATGGATGGACGGACGGACGGACGTCCTCTGAGCTTCCTCGGGTCAAGGCCCCGGCTGGACTCGTATTCAGGACCAGAGGTGTCTCAGAGGGTGGCAGGGTGATTCGTGGGGACACTGAGCTGGGGTGGGCGGTGGGGGGCACAGGGAAAGGTGGGAGCCCTGGGGGCTGCGGTTCTGTTGGGGGGCCGCCACCCCCTGTATGTCCCTAGTGGGTGGTCTTGTGCCTGATGCCCGGGGAGGAAGGCCTGGCCTGACTGTGGGTCTGACCTGGAGGCCGCAGCCCCAGCAAAGGGGACCCAGACGCATGTGGTGAGGAGCTGGTGGCTCCTGAGTGAGGCTGCCTGGGTTTATAGCTGGTTCTGCCACTTCTTTTTTTTTTAAAAAAATATTTTTTTATTGATTTCAGAGAGGAAGGAGAAGGAGAGAGAGAAAAATCCATGAGGAGAGAGAATCACTGATGGACTGCCTTTTGCACGCCCCCCACTGGGGATCGAGCCCACCACCCGGGCCTGTGCCCTCACCTGGTTCTGGGTGGACGCTCAGCCACTGAGCCACGCGGGCCGGGCTCTGGTCCTGAAAACGGGACTCCCCCCTGGCAGTGGCCCGGGGACCTGGTTTTCTCCCTGTCGGGCGGGGCCCCGGGCTGGCCGGAGCGGGCGGAGGCGCCGGCCAGGGAAACGTGGCCTGCGGGGCCCACGGCTGCCAGCTGCGAGGTCCTCTCGCGGCCGGAACTGGCGCATTCTGGGGTCGCCGTGGACACCGCCCGCGGGGTGAGGTGCGGCCGGCCATGCCGCGCCGGGCCGTGCTGTCCCAGGAGGAGAAGCGGGCCCGGGCGCGGGAAAGGGACTCGCTGAAGAGGCGGCGGCGGCGGGAGGACGGGCTGAAGCGCGGCCTGGAGCGGCAGCGCAGCGCCCTGGCCGTGAGGCGGCAGCGGCAGCGGCGCAGGGAGGAGTGCGGGGCCCCGAGGAGGCGGCGGCAGGAGGCCGAGGACCGGGGCCAGGAGAAGAGGAAGGACCTGGAGACTCGGCAGCAGAGGCAGCAGAGGAGGAGGGAGGAGCAGGCGAGGGCCTCCAGGAGGGAAGGCTGGTCCTGGTGCCACTGGGGAGGAGGAGGGGGAGCAGGAGGAGGAGGAGGGGGAGCAGGAGGAGGAGGTAGGAGGTGGAGGAGGAGGAGATAGAGATGGAGGAGGTGGAGGAGGAACAGAGATAGAGGAGGAGGAGGAGGAGGAAGAGATAGAGATGGAGGAGGAGGAGGAGGACATAGAGATGGAGGAGGAGATGGAGATGGAGGAGGAGGAGGAGATGGAGATGGAGGAGGAGGAGGAATAGAGATGGAGGAGGAGGATGAGGAAGAGATAGAGATGGAGGAGGAGATGGAGGAGGGAGAAGAGGAGGAGGAGGAGGGAGAGGCCCATGGGGAGCCCAGCCTCACGGTCTGGGTGCTGCCTGGGCTGTTGAGGCGTCTGGAGAAAAGGGTGTCTGTGGGGCGAGCCCGCCAGTGGGGGAGGCTGGGCTCCGTCCAGATGGCCTTGGGGGCTTTTCTAGTCCTGCCCACCCCAGGTGTGGCCTCCGTCTCGCCCGCTCGCTCTGCACCCTCAGCCCCTGGGTGATGCTTGCTCATCCCCCGGGCCCTGGGGCGTTCGCGGTGAAGCCTTTGCCATGAGGCAGGCCGTGGGGATGCTGGAAGCTTCTGGGAGCTGCCTGCCGGTTCCTGGGGCGGAGGCCAGGCGGCCCCTCCCTGCTCTGGGCCCCTCGGCGGGGACGGCGCTGGGCCGCCGCCCTCCCGCCCCAGCCTGTCCTGGCCGCGCAGACACGCGGGGGCCCTGACCGGCCGGAGCCAGGGCCGTCAGCCGTCTGACCTGCTCTCCGATTCCAGGGAACAGGGAACAGCCAGGTGCCGCAGAGCAAATACGCCGAGCTGCTGGCCATCATCGAAGAGCTGGGGAAGGAGATCCGGCCCACGTACGCGGGCAGCAAGAGCGCCATGGAGAGGCTAAAGCGAGGTGCGTCCGGCAGGCGGCCCGAGGCCCCGCCCGGCACTGCCGGGGGAGTTTTCCAGGGGCCCCTGGGCGGCTGGGGGTCGCCGGGCCTCCGGGGACGGGGAGGCATCGGCGGGGTGAGCGGCTCTGGGGTGTGGGCTCGGGGTTGGACAGGCCGCTCCGCCGTGAGCCTTGCCCGCCTGTGGCTGCAGGAGGGTCCGTGTGCCTCCTCCCTGCTGCCCTCCTGGGGCCATGGATGGCGGTGGCAGTGGGGGTGGGAGTGGGGGGAGGCGGTCTGTGCGAGTTCGGGGCAGGCGACGGGGTGCCTTGAATGCTTTTGCGATGGAGGTGACAGCACAGGGAAAGGCGACTCAGTGACGCTGTGAGCACCCAGTGTCTCAGGACGGGAGCCGCCGGCTGCCCTGTGAGGCGAGAGGAGGAGGGAGGACTTCTGTTTAGAAGGTGGCTGTGTGTGTGAAGTTCATCTCAGGAGGGGTGTGAGGATCTCCAGAGGGTTCGGGGAGCACCTCGGAGGAAAGAGCAGCAGCCGGGTTATGAGCAGAGGCGCCCGCGGCGGCCGCCATTGGGGTCGCGGGTCCCCGGGGACAGGCAGGGCCGGGCGGGGGGAGCACAGGGGACTGGTGGTCAGAGGCTGGAACCGGAGAGGGTTTGGGGCGGGTGTGGGCTGAACCCCGCTCCAGCCTGGGGCCAGGTGGGCACAGTGCTGCCATCTGGGCCTCGTCAGATCGGACGGAGGCGCTGGCCACCTGAACGGGAATCCCTGAGCGTCTGGCGGGGGGTGGGGAGCCACGGTGAAGTCAGCGTGTGGACACACCCAGTGCCCACTCTGGGCACAGCCGGGCGAGCAGCGTCCTGCCCAGGGGCCAGCTCACGTGGGAGCAGGTGGGAGGCTGCAGTGGGCACGAGGGAGTGCGTGCACTGTCCATAGGTCGGCGTCGGACAGCCAGTGAGCCCTGGGTGTTTTGTGGGATTTTTAAACATCCTTACCAGAGGGCAGGTTTTCATTAATTGTCAGAGGAAGGGGAGGGAGGGAGAGGGAGAGGGAGGGAGAGAGAGAGAGAGAAACATGGATGTGGGAGAAACATCGGTTGCTTCCCATATACTGGGGATTGAACCTACAACCTAGGGATGTGCCCTGATCAGCATTCCAACCCCAAACATTCTGATGTACAGAAGACTCGCATCATGGATGTTTCTATGTCTCTCCCCTTCTCTCTTCCTGAGATCAATATATTTAAAAAAAAAAAAGAAGAAGAGAAAAGCAACAATTTTAAGGTGTGGGGTCCTCAGAGTGAGTCGGGTGTGGGTGGAGTCCCGTCTCGGAGAGCCGGCTGGCGGGCACCCTGAGTGCACAGGGAAGGGGTTAGGGAGACCCGGTGGGGAGGGCTTTGAAGGGGAAGGAGCCTGGGCAGGCGTGGCTCAGTGGTTGGGCATCATCAACCTATCAATCAGGAGGTTACAGTTCAATTCCCGGTCAGGGCACAGGCCTGGGTGCAGGCTTGGTCCCCAGTGTGGGGGGTGCAGGAGGCAGCCAGTCAATGATTTTTTCTCATCATCCATGTTTCTCTCTCCCTTTCTGAAACTAATAAAAACATATATATATATGTGTGTGTGTGTGTGTGTGTGTGTGTGTGTGTATATTCAGTTAATACTCACCTGAGGATGTTTTCCTGTTGATCTTTGAGAGTGTGGGAGAGAGAGGGAAAGACAGAAACATTGATGTGAGAGAAACACATGGATTGGCTGCCTTCTGCACGCACCCCAACCAGGGCCCAGGCAGCAACCGGCATGTGCCCTTGACTGGAATCTAACCCGGGGGACCCTTTGGTCTGCAGGCCAACACTCCACCCACCGAGCCAAACCGGCTAGGGCGTCAGTGCCTTTTAAACCACGTGGAGGCCGGGTGGCTGGATGTGGGCCCCAGGCCAGTGCGAGGGCTCTCTGGCTGCTGGTGAGAGGGCCCTCTTCCTCCTTCGACGTCCTCTTCCTCTCCCGGCCCGGGTCCGGGGGCCGTCCCAGCCGCTGCCTCTTCTCTTCCAGGCATCATCCACGCCAGAGGGCTGGTCCGGGAGTGCTTGGCCGAGACGGAGCGGAACGCCAGGTCCTAGCCTCCCAGGCCTCCCAGGCGCACGCGAGGCTTTCCATCCTCTTCCAGGAAGTGACAGCTCCCGCCCCCGCTCCGATGAAACTCGGTCCCAGCTCGGTTTCTCCTCCCGCGCCCCTCCCGCGGTCCGTCAGGCTCCGAACCTCCCGGCTGAGATGGAGACGAGGGTTCGCAGTTCTTAGGTTTACATATTAGTTAGCAACTACCCAGGGCGTTTGTGTTTTTCTAAGCATTGATTTCCACGATGCACGTCATTACCTGTCAGGCAAACTAGCTGGCCTCCCGGGGCCCTCCCGTGTGTCTCTCCTGGATACATTTCTGTTACTCACGTGCTTCTGTTTCTCCTCTGAGCCCATCCCGCTCTGAGGTGTGTGTCAGTCCGAGGCAGCGCTTTAGTAGCCAGTCCCGTTTGCCACAGAGTATAGATTCTGCTCAATGTAACTTTCTTTCCTTTTTTTTTTTTGCTTAAGCATTTGCATGACTCTTAGTACTTTGAAGTCAATCTTTTAAGTGCACAAGTTTTAAATACAGAAGAAAGAGCAACTGACTGAACCGCGAACCTCGCCTGACAAGGACCCCTGAGATTCCCCTAAGGATGTATTAGATTTCAGCCCCGCCTTTCCCAGCAGTGGATCCAAACATCTGGAAGAAAGTGACTAATACTGTTTGCATCTTTGTATGTATTTATTACTTGATGTAATAAAGCTTATTTTCATTAACAACTGGTATCAAGATGTGGGTTCCTTGACACAAGTGTCATTTAAGAAATTCTTTTGATTGATTTCAGAGACGGGATAGAGAAACATCAACGGTGAGAGAGCATTATGGTTCAGTTGCCTTCTGCACGCCCCCTGCTGGGTTTGTGCCCTGTGAGGGAATTGGAACTGTGACCTCCTGGTTACTAGGTCAGTGCTCAAGCGCTGAGCAACACCAGCCAGGCTCCTGGCATTTTTAAAAACGGCTCCTTGAGCCGATACCGGTTTGGCTCAGTGGATAGAGCATCTGTCTGCAGACTGAAAGGTCCAGGGTTCGATTCCGGTCAAGGGCATGTACATTGGCTGCGGGCACATCCCTGGTCGGGGGTCGGGGATGTGCAAGAGGCAGCTGATCCATGTTTCTCTCTCATCGACGTTTCTAGCTCTCTATCTCTCTCCCTTCCTCTCTGTAAAAAATCAATAGAATATATTAAAAACAAAAAACAGCTCCTCCAGGGGAGGCGGGAGAGACCTGTCAAAGGTGCGTCAGGGCGGATGTGACTGATTAGCCCCCGGCTGGGAGGCGTGCGCTGTGGTCGCGCAGGGAGGCGGCGGGGCTGCACAGTGAGCTGTGGTGGTTTTAGCTGCGTGGCCTCGGGGGCGGGGCAGCGTGAGAGCCGCTCCTCTCTGCCCTGCACCCTCCCCGTCCCCTGCGTTAGTGCCTCCTCGGTTGTAGGTGCCCTCCTGTGCGCGGTTCCGGAGTGCCGCAGGAACCTGGTTTCCTCGCAGCGTGGCCACGTCACACGCTGCTCTGGCCAGGGTCAGCGCCAGGGGTGCTGGCCGTGCGAGAATCCGAGCGGAGGAGGCAGCTGTACTGGGAGTCCCCGCGGGGGAGCACTCTGGCCGGGGTGTGGGCAGTTTTGCAGGCTCTGAGCCCTAGGAAGGGCTTTAGGGAGTGAGCTTGTCTGCGCCTCGGTTACGCACGTGCCAGGCGACAGGCGATGGAAAGGGAAGCTCCTGTCTGGAGCCCCGTCCTTATGGCTTCTGTGCACCGTCCCAGTGCCTTACTGGCGACCTCTGGGGGAAGGTGGAAGGGGAAGGCCTGCCCACTGCACCATAGGCCTAGCGAGCCTTGTGCAGGACACCTGAGCTCTGGACGAGGTCACTGCCTTAGAGGTCAGTGTCTCTGGATGCAGGAGCGAGGGAGGCTCCCCTGCTAGTTTTCTACGGGAACCTGAGAAGCGTTCCAACGAGCCAGGCTGTGGCCTGCCTGAACAGCCCCAAACAACGGTAAGGGCAAAGGAGGGTGATGGTGACGAACAAACTCACAAGCGAATCAGGTTTCGGGACGCTCACCCCTTACAGACCTGCCTGTAACCCACACGTGGGACAAGGCGCCTCCTCCCACATCGGACAGGTAACTTGGTCACGTGGTGTAACTGGCTATGGGGCCAGCGACTTACTAACCTGCACATCGTGGAAGTCTTGTTTTAAAAATATTTTTTTTAATGATTTCAGAGAGGAAGAGGGAGAGAGAGAAACATCCATGATGAGAATCATTGGTCGTCTGCTTCCTGCAAGTCTCCGACAGGGGATCGAGCCCACACCCTGGGCCATGTGCCCTTGACTGGAATCGAACCTGGGACCTTTCAGACTGTAGGCCGATGCTCTATCCACTGAGCCAAACTGGCTAGGGCAGTGGTCGGCAAACTCATCAGTCAACAGAGCCAAATGTCAACAGTACAACGATTGAAATTTGAGAGCCACATTTTTTAAACTTAAACTTCTTCTAACGTCTCTTCAACATAGACTCGCCCAGGTCGTGGTATTTTGTGGAAGAGCCACGCTCAAGGGGCCAAAGAGCTGCATGTGGCTCATGAGCCGCGGTTTGCTGACCACTGGGCTAGGGCACCGTCTTGTTTTTTATTCTCTTAAGCTGACCTCTACATATCACTGAGCAGTGACCTCCCAGTGGATGATGAGGTTATCCTACAGGTTATTAATCTTTGTCTCAATTTCACAGTTCTCCATAGAAATGGACCTTTTTAATAGTCATACTTTAAAATAATAGTCCTACTTTTTATTTCTAACCTTTGATAGCAAAATAAGGTATAACATAAAGACAAGAGGCGACACCCTTCTTGCTACAGCCCAGGCCCTGAAATCGAACCGCCTGCCACCTGCAGCTCTTGGAGCTGCTTCTCAAGACGCAGATGCAGTCCCCCCCCGCCCACCTACCCCCCACCCACACTCCCACCCGCTCCCCCAACAGCCACTGTCCTCCCACAAGGACCGCCTGTGTTTCTCAGGTCTGTTGTAAGCACGTCTCTATCCAGTTTACTTGGTCTGCCACGTAAAACAATCCGAGGCTTTAACCCATAAAACGCTTCTGAAGCCCTGCAGCCACGGGTGAGGGACCCCCTTCTTCCTCCAGGGCCTCGGGGCTCCTCACTCGGGGCCGGCTGTTTCCGCCGTGGAGTTCTTACTCGATTCCCAGAGCTGCTTCAGCTGCCTCTTCTTTTCCAGGGTTTCCTTGGCTCTCTTTTTCCTCTCCTGCTTCTTCTTCTCCGCTGCGCGCCTTTCTCTGGAGGCGAGACTCTCTTCCCCGTGGTAGAAACTGTCCACCTTCTCTTGCAGGATTTTCCGGGCCAGCTTCCTGTTCTGTTCCACCGACCTCGTCTGATGGCACTGCGGAGGGAGAGGAGGTTCGTGACCTGAGGCCGCAGGCTGGTTCTAGGGACCCCAGGGCTCAACACGGAGGGAGATGGGGGGAGAGGAGAGGGAGTAGGAGGCAAGGACACCCTGCAAGAATCCCAGGAAGGGGTGACAAAGCAAGGGCGTGTCCCTGGCCCACACCCACGTCTGAGGTGGCTTTCACAGCCACTGTCTCAGAGTTGGGAGTGCCGTTTTGTTTAGAAGCCACGGTCCCAAAATAATTCTGAATTCAGGCGGAAATGTCCAGTGTGGGCAGGGCACGAGCGCTGTGCACAGAGGCCAGCGTCTGTCAGAGGAAAAGGCCTCTTTACCATCAGCCCAGCCCTGGCACAGGCGGCCAGGCTGATAGGCATTGGGATGCCGGTGAGCATGGCACGGAGAGGACTTGGGGTGAGTTATATAAAACGGGCGAAACAAAAAGGATGCCAGGTTTTAGGAGGCTCCCTGTGGCTCCTGAATGACAAGCCCTCAAGGAGGGGGGAGAGGTGGTGAGACCAAGCCATGTGCTCGGTGGCAGGAGGGCGGGCAGGGCCTGGCGGGCCATTAGCCGCCCCGAGCCTCCCGTCCCTACCTGTCCCGCCAGGAGGAAGGGTGCAGGGCTTGTGCGGACTGAGCTACTGCACGCCAGGCCCTCGGCCGGGCCGTATCTCCAGGCTCGGCTGCCCCTCGGGCCTCTGGCCCCGCAGCGTGGAGGGACAGTGCCCCTGCCCCAGGCCAGCATTTCCTAGGCCGAGGATCAGGTGTGCTGACAGCTGGGGACACGGGGACTCCCACAGGCAGCCGCACATGCTCCTGGCGCCGAGAATGGCTGGCCTGAGGCCATGCTCAGAAGGTGGGCGTCACGGGCCTCCAAGGAGACGGAGGGCAGCCGCGGCCCCTGCGGCAGAGGATGCTCGCGGACCTCCAGGCTGCTGGCTGCCCAGGGAGGTGGCCCCACGGCAGTGCTGCGGCCACCGGCTGCCTGCCAAGTTCAAAGAGGGCAGCAGCACCTGGCTCCGGAGGCTGGGAGGCTGGGAGGCTGCTGAGGCTCTCGGGGAGGGAGCTCAGGGCCGGGGACAGAAAACCCACCCCGCTTCTGCCCTACCTTGACGACCAGGCCGGAGGGCACGTGCTTCAGCACCACACAGTTGCTGGTCTTGTTGGTTGCCTGGCCCCCTGGACCATGTCCTTTCACAAACTGCTCTTCAAGGTCACTCTCCTCCAGGGAGAAAGGGGCCGGCCGGTCCTTCTTGCCTGCTGCCTGGACCGGAGGGACCCTTGCCACCAGGGACAGCAACGACGGCCTCTCCCCAGGCCGGCATGCCCAAGGCACGGGGCACATCCTGGTCAGCGGGCCAGGAAAGCGGAAGGATCTCAAGGCGCCCATGGACAGCGAAGACCTGGGTCAGACAGGAGACAGCCCTTCAGGGAGAGGCCCTGCTCCCACGTCCACTTCAGGCCCCCGGGCAACTCTGACAAGCCAGTTCAGACAATGAGGACCCATCTCGTAGGGAGGGTGTTAGGGAGTGAGTGAAGACACATGACTTGACTATACCTTGCCCACCGGTAAATGTTTTCTTGTAACAGACCAGAAATAACTTTTAATGGACTTTTAATATATACACATACATATACACTGAGTGGCCAGATTATTATGCATTCAGAGATCATAATAATCTGGGCCACTCAGTGTGTGTGTGTAAACATATATATTGATTTCAGAGAGGAAGAGAGAGAAACATCAATAATGAGAATCATCGATCTGGTACCTCCTGCACACCTCCCACTGGGGGAGGAGCCCACAACTCAGGCCTGTGCCCTGCCTGGAAATAAGGCTGTGACCTCCTGGTTCATAGGGTGGATGCTCAACTACTGAGCACGCCGGCCGGGCTGGACTAGAAATACCTTCAAGGCCCAGAGGTGCCGTTTTCTCAGCAAGGAGAGGGTTTGCGTGCGAAGCTCAGACCGGGGCTGTGATTTGCTGAAGTGTTAACCAGCACGTCAGGCAGAAGTGGGAGCTGAGTCTGGTGACATTATGTGAATGTTGGGGAGTCTCTGAAATCCAAACATAGGACAGTGAGCAGTCGCCTGTGCATGGCTGAGCTAGACAGTGGGACGCTGTAACTCACTATCCATCAACGTCAGGCGGTTGTTTCCCAATGTTCCCAGTTTCTTGATCTGAACAGGAACCCCTGTGCCTCAGCCGGGCGGCCAATGACATCATCCAACCGGTCCGCAGCGTTAGGCCCGCCGAGCCAGCTGACCTGCATGGAGTCCCCTGGCCGGTTCCAACACCAGGCGAGGTGCTCTGAGCCGCGGGCGGTGAGAGAGCCAGGCTGTCTTCAGGAGCTCAGTCTAACCAGAGGGGGACAGTCAAAAAGAGCGCGGTGTTGGGGGTAAGATTTAAAGAATGGCTCCGGAGGCAGCAGGAGCGGAAGTGCCTCCGTTGACAAGCGCGGAGGGTAACAGCTGTGAGGACACGGTGGGCCACAGGCTCTGGCTTCCTTTCCTTTCGAGGGCCAGGGAGGCTGGGATCTGAAAGGTGTCACCTCCTCAGAGATCTGCGTGTGGACAGGGGCAAGTCACAACCTGGGCGGGCGGCCTTCTCATCTGGAGGATGGGGAACAAGCTTCGCCCCGCCCAGGCAGGCCCAGGCAGGCCTGGAGCCAGAGCAGAGTGCTGGAGGGAGGGGGGAGGCGGGCGCTTTGTGGCTCCTTTGAAGGCACGAGATTGGTTGCCGGTGGAGTATGAGAACTATGATTATGCCACTTGATTTGAGCCTGACGGGCATGGCTCAGTGTTTGAGCACTGACCTATGAGCTGGGAGGTTGAGGTTTGGTTCCCCATCGGGGCACATGCCAGGCTTTTGGGCTTGATCCCCAGAGGCAGCCGGTCGATGGTTCTCTCTCATCATTAATGTTTCTGTCTCCCCCTCTCCCTTTCTCTCTGATATCAATAGAAATATATATTTTTAAAAAATTGATGAGTAGAAAAAGAAAAAAAAACAGAATTTGATGAGACACACACACAGAGAAACATCCATTGTGGTTCACTTACTGATGCATTCATTGTTGATACCTCTCCGTACTGACTGGGGATCGAACCCGCAATCCTGGTGCATCGGGATGATGCTCTAGCCAACTGAGCTACCTGGCCAGTGTTGGGCGATAGCCTTCTTTTCTATCTCTACTATTTCAATAGAGAACACTTTGCTAGGCGTAGGCCAGTGCTAGTTTTCACTTCCATGACTGCGCGGTCCACCTCGGACCGAGTGAGAGGCCTGGTCAGTGCGGGGGACGGGAAGGTGTGGTGGAGAGGGCTCCGTAGCTGGAAGAGGCTTGTTTGGAAGCAGTGTGCCCACCAAATGCCCCTTTACCAACGGCCTTTGTCTACCGTGTGGGCGGCGTTTCAGGAGTCTCCTCCGGAAAGAAGACGACAGACCATAAACCGGGCACTCTGCCCGCCCGACATCGCGGAACAAAGAACCGCCTCCGAGAAACGATTCCAGACCGAGTCCCCGTCCAGACCCCCTCCTCCCTCCTTTCTGCTTTCGAGCCGCAGGACAGGATTCCTTTGTGCCTCAGGCGCGTCTGGTCGGTCCCTGGATCAGATTCCTTACGGAACACGAGCCAGCGTGTCTCTTGGGGTTTCTCTTCCGAGAGTGAGTGACTGGCCGGGTGGGGCAGCGCTGGGGTAGGGCCGATGACAGAGAGGAAGCGAGCGGGCGATGAGGCGAACCCCCCAGACAAAGGGGGGGGGGCTGCTTTGTCACCCAGTGTGGCTCACATCTCCACCTTTCTGTCCCACTTTCAGAGCGACTCGCACACTGGAGGGCTCCCACCAACGAGCTCAGGAAGGCTCCCGGGGCCCTGGCGCTCCTCCAAGGACAGCTGAACATGACAAACACCCGGTTCCACTTCCCCAAAGCTCCCGACCATCACGGATTGGATTTCAGCATCTGTGATACCGAAGAGCAACTCCAAATCTTCAGGGAACAATGAGAGCCGCTGGAATCGGAGCTCGTCGTGACATTAAAAAAGAAGAAAAAGGTGACAGGAGTGCCAGTAAGGGACACCGGGGTGGGGAGAGCTCGGCTCCGATTCCTTCCTGGGAGTGGCAGCTTCAGCTCGCGGCTGGCTCCCACCCTCACTTCCGGCGGCTTCAGCGACTGCTGATGGCAGGTTAGGTGAGAGCCTCTCATTGTCCAGCCCCTTCCCGCTTGGCCAAGGGAGATAAGAGGTGCCAGGCCTTACAGAGGAAATGGTAATTTGTTCAGTAACAGTGTCAGTGTCTACCAGGAGCCATAAGAGATAAGCTGAGATGTCCATCGGGTGGGCCGGATGGGTGACCTGCTGCGGAGCGGTGGTTCTCACGCGTTTTCTATGGCCCAAGTCCCCTGCGGGGCCTGCATCGGGGCCTCGGAACCTGCTTCTCGTAGGTGCCCCTGGGCCTGACCTCAGAGTGTCCTCGAACCGAACCGGAGGAGCAGGTGTGGAGAGGACCCAGATGGGGGCTTTAGGAAAGACGGTGGTAGGGCACACACTCCCTGGGGACCTTGTTAGAGGGGGTACTGGTCACCAGGGCCTGAGGCTCTGCATTAAAAAATGTGTGTGTGTGTGTTTTTTTTAAATTTGATTTCAGAGAGGAAAGGAGAGGGAGAGAGAGGGAAACATCAATGATGAGAGATAATCATTGATCCCACACTGGGGATTGAGCCCGCAGCGAGGGCATGTACCCTGACGGAATCAAACCGTGATCTCTTGGCTCACAGGTTGATGAGCCACGCTGGCCAGGCCAGGCTCTGACCTTCTCACCAGCTCCCGGGAGGCTGTGCTGCTGGCCACTTCGAGGGCCAGCTAAGGGCGTGGAGCAAGGCTTGTCGGAGTGTCCCATTTGTGGGGTGAAAACCCCAGGATCAGGACGTTAGAGATGGAGGAGGTGGAAAGGAGGGAGCTGGGTGAAGCTACTTAGAGAAAAGAAATGAATGAATATTGATATGAGTTCACAGAGAAGGTGAGATGGGAACAAGGGGATGGAGAAGCTGGGTCACCCGTCACCCGAAGAACGAAAACCTGGAATGCTGGCTCACGTGCTAGCACGGCGTGGCCTGATACAAACAGAACGCAAGCCACGTGTGACATTCCAAATGTCCTAGTAATCCCCTTAAAACAGTAAAATAGCCCGAGTTGGGAGGTTGCCATTTGGTTTTTAGTTGGGGCACAGCACTGGGTTGCAGGCTCGATACCCAGGAGGGGGTGTGCAGGAGGCAGCTGATCATTGATTCTCTCATCATTGACGTTTCTATCACTCTATTTTTCTCCTTTTCTCTCTGAAATCAATGAAGGGAAAAAAAAGAAAAAGAAAAAGAAAAAAAAAAAACAGGTCTCAGAACAATGGGCAAAGACCAAGCTCAGTGAGCTTGAAAAGGAGGATTGCAACCTTGCAGCTTTAAAACATCAAAATGGCCAGCGGATGGCACCAGAGGCTACGTAGGAGGAGGAGGATTCTGAGAAATGCTCAATCCTCACTCCTGCTCCACGCTCATGCTCCTGGTCTAGCTGCCTGGGACCCTTCTGGGCTTGAACCCTGCCCAAATGGAGCCACTGGGCTGGCTCAGGCGGGTTTAGCAGAGGATGAAGCCCCTCTCCCACAGGAAGTGCTCACAGAGACTTGGTCCTCCAGGAAGATCAGCATAATGGGCTGAGCAGGAAATGCAGAGTTATCTTGGATTTGGGGGGAAAGAGGCCCGGTGGAAGCTTAATAGGCTTCTTGCTGCCCAGTTCAAGAGGCAACAAGGAAGCAGACAAAGAGAAAAGCTTTCCATTCATCCCTTAACATCCGTTGAGTTTTTCTTTTAAGCAGAAAACTCTGAACCCATGGAGAAGAACACCCATCCTGTTCATGAGCATCACCATGATGGTCTTGTATTTATGGCATCTGACAGGAACTTTATAACTGACACCCAGGATATTAAAATGACAGAAGCACATGAAAAATCAGCAGTAACAATCCTCTACATTTTCTCCTAAAAAATTCTCCCCGCCTCTATTGCCATAATGATGGCTAATGTTTGGGACTCAAATGTCTTCAAAGCACTACTAAGTAGGAGTGTGCTTGATACAAATAAAGCACAAGATGCCTACTACGTGGGCTATTTCAGACATATCTTGGAAGAACATTAGCTGGTCCTCCCCCCGCCCCCCTTTTATTTTCAATCCTCACCTGAGGATAATTTTTCCATTGATTTTGTAGAGAGAGTGGAAGGGAGGGAGGAGGAAGAAAGACAGAGAAACATCAGTGTGAGAGAAACACATTGATTGGTTGCCTCCTGCACAAACTCTGACCAGGGCAGAAGATGGAACCTGCAACCCAGGTACGCTTCCTCGACCGGGAATCGAACTCCCGACCCTGAGTGGGCTCAAAGGCCAGCACTCTAACCACTGAGCACACCAGCCAGGGCAGCTGGTCCATTTTTAAAACTAAATCGATCCTTTCAACAGCTTGTTTCTTTACCTTTCCCCAGCTTCTTAAAGTGGTAGCTCATTTTCCTCCACTTTCTCTTCTTGACACTTCCTTTCATTTTTTTTGGCCCCTGAAAGGCTACATTGCTTTGTAGTCAACGGGACCTGTGTCAATGTCTCAACTCTCTATCCAACTCTGGCCACATGTGCTCATCTGTAAAACGGAGGTAGTAATAACAGCTGGGGTGAGAAAAATCCCATGATGCGACAAACGGGAAGCAGTGAGCACTTCAGATCCCTAAACCTCTGACACACCACACACACTGTGATCTCAGAGCTCAGACCCACTCTGCAAACCTACGACTTCATGGGCGTTTATCTGATTAGAGGTCATAGTGAAAAGGCTTCTAGAACAGTGACCTGCTAGTTATTTTACTGGGGATGGTCCCATTCAAGAAGTACTTGAAAACCTTGAAAGAACCAAAGACATACTGTTTGGTGAGGTCATAATTCTGGTCTAGGAAAGAGGTGCCAAGGAACAAATTGTGATGTCAAGAGCACAGCTGGACTTCCCGGCAGGTTCAAACGGAAAGATAAAAACGCACCTTCATCAAACAAGCCCTGCTTCAAACTTAGAGATCTTCAGGGGCTACCTAATAGGGTAAAAAAAGTCACAAAGCTCGGGAAAGATGAGGAAAATCCATATTTAAATGTATAACTTATCACTTCCTTCCGTATTTAATGGATAAACTTAGATGTAAAGTTTTAGAGTTCCTCCTCTTTTGCTGTGGAGAACTGGTCCCCTGATGACAAACTCTGTATATAAAAACCAACAACACGCCGAAACCGGTTTGGCTCAAGAGTGTCGGCTTGGGGACTGAAGGGACCCGGGTTCGATTCTGGTCAAGGGCATGTACCTTGGTTGCGGGCATATCCCCAGTAGGGGTGTGCAAGAGGCAGCTGATTGATGATTCTCTCTCATCGATATTTCTAACTATCTCTCCCTTCCTCTGTACAAAATCAATAAAATATATTTTTTTAAAAAAAGAAAAAAAAGAAAAGAAAATATATTATTAAAATAAAACAACCAAAAAAACCCCCAACAACACAAAATAACCCCTGGTTAACAGGCACTAAGTTTTTCAAGCTATTAGTGGCCACTGTTACTGACAGCCTGCTCTTATCCCAATGTAAAAGATGGAAAGATCTCCGCTATAAAGCTATCAATTTAAAGACTTCACCCTACCAGTGTGCCTCAGTGGTTGAGCGTGGACCCATGAACCAGGAGGTTGCTGGTTCCATTCCTAGTCCCACGCATAACTGGGGGGGTGCAGGAGGCAGCTGATCCATGTTCCTTTCTTGATGTTTCTATCTCTCCCTTTCCCTTCCTCTCTCTCCCAAGTAAAAAAAAAAAAACATATTTAAAAGAATGAAATAAAAGCACCATCTTACCTAATGTAAACTGACCATACTTCTGCTACGCCCACAGCCAATCAGGAGTATGCAAATTAACCAGGCAAAGATGGTGGGTTAATTTGCATACACAGGTGCAGAGGTGCTGGGAGGGGCTGGACACCTGCTATGACGAGGAGGGGGAAGTGGTGGAGGAAGCTATATGAGTGATGTTCCACTGGGAGAGAGGATTTGCAGGCTCCCAGGTGGCTAGGAGTGAAGCCAGGGGAAGGAAGGCCTATTCTTGCGTGAATATTGTGCAAACGGCCTCTAGATGAAAAAATAATTGGGCCCTAACTGGTTTGGCTCAGTGGATAGAGCATCAGCCTGCGGACTGAAAGGTCCCAGGTTCGATTCCGGTCAAGGGCATGTACCTTGGTTTCAGGCACGTCTCCAGTAGGAGACTGATGTTTCTCTCTCATCTGATGTTTCTAACTCTCCCTCTCCCTTCCTCTCTGTAAAAAAATCAATAAAATATATTAAAGAAATAAAAAAATAATTGGACTTTGGTTGGGTATCACATGAGCATCATTTCCACAGGTGGATTAACATAATTTGGGGTGGGTGGGCTCGATTTAGGTAAGCTTGACATCTTCCAGGCACGCATGAGGTCTTGGAGAGAGACCGATGTCTTACAGTTGAGACATTATTGCCAGGGATTCTTGGGAGGCTCGGATGCCATGGGCTGCCCCATGCCAAGGGCAAGCACACCTCCAAAGTCCTGCCTGCACAGGCACCTCTAAGTGACAGCCAAGGCCCCTGTGCTGTGTACAGCTCTCGGGGCATCTGGAGGGAAATCTCAAAGCTGCGGGTACCGGAAAGGTTGAACTAGCTTGAAGAACAAGGACGGAGCAGAGCGAATGAGAGGGGCCGGGGGCCCACGGCGAGGGACGCGGCATCTCTCTAGTCCTTTGAAAGATCTGACAAGAGCGACGCGGACACCCGCTATGTGCCTGGCCTCAAACAGCCCTGCTGCGTGCTACGGGCGCTGTAAGGCTCTGCTGGACAAGTCCACGGGGATCGGTCCATTTGTCCTGTTTTCTCCAGGGCACGGGCTTCCCTCTCCTGTCCCCCAAATCCCCCTTTGAAGAGCGCAGACGCCCCGCAGCCTAGGACACACCAGGTCCAGGGAAAACAGCTCAGGTGCCTGGACCGGCTGCAGGGACTCAGGCCAACAGGTTGCACGACTCAGGGTCGCAAACTCGCCGTCCCCTTTCCAGAGCCCTTGACAATCGTGGGTAACCGTGTGGGATGCCTGACTTCCCCGCGGACACTTACCCGACCCCACGATTGGCCTCCGCCCCCAAAGTTCTGGTGGGAACCAGAGTCACCGCCAAGGAAGGAAGGGATCGCAACAGCGGTCTCGCGTCTGCGCATGCGCCGTGCCTCAGCCGCGGCTCCGAACCGCCTCCTTACCAACTGCGCATGCGGGAAGCTGAGGCCAGCGAACCAATCAGACAAGAGGGCTTGACAACGGCCACGCCCCGCACCAGTTCCCAGGCCTCGGACCGCCGTTTATCCGCGCGCGAGCCGCGGGAAGGGAAGGGGGAGGTGGCGGCGCTGCGCAGCCGCCCTGTGTCCCCGCCCCCCTCCCGAGGCGGCCAATCGCCGGCGAGGCGCCGGGCGCGCGCACGCTCCCTGAAGTTTAACGGTCGCGAGAGGCCGCCCGCTCGCTCGCCCGACGCTGAATTGAGTCGGCGGCCAGGTAAGCGGCCGTCCGCGTCCGCCTGCGGGGAGCTGCCTGTCTCGGGGGGGGGAGACAGAGGGGACGAGACTTAGAGGACACAGCCTTAGAGGAGCCCTGCGCGTGCTGTCGGTCCCGCGGGCACAGGGGGGACGGCGGCCACACGCCGCAGCCCTCCCCCAGCCCGCGGGCGGGCGTGTGGGGGCTTTGCCTGCGGCCCGGCGCCCGTTCCAGCTCCGGTGCCCTTGAGTGACACCCGCGCGACCCAGGGGCGGAGTGCCTCTCCGCCAGGGGCGGGGGGCTTGGGGGATTCCCCCTTTCCTTTTCGTGGCTCACTTGAGCAATCACGGTCGTCGTGGACGGGACGATGGATGGTCTTGCATGCAGGCGGCTGCGTGCGTCCTCCCTCGCCGCCCCACGTTGACCGAGAGCACGCACCAGCCATTGGGGTCTGGCCTCCCGACCTCTGTAATCCTCCCCCTTCCTTCTTTCTTTCCTTCCCCCCTCGGGCTCCCAGCAAAGCAAAACTGCACGTTCACTTTTATAGCATCATCAGACCCCCATCAGCCCTTGGCTTCTCCCCCAAATCTTTTTTCTTTTTCTTTTCTTTTTTTGCTAGGGGTCGGGGGACCAAAAGCATGATATTTTGTTGTTGTGAAATATAAAACTGTCTTTGTACTTCTATTCCCCATGACGTTTTCTTAAAAAATATTTTTTTTTTTTGCATTGTACATCGGGGTGTCTCTCTTCCCCCCCACGCCCCGCCCCTGTAATCTTCACCCCTCACCCCGCTGGTGGAGAAGCATCGTCGCATTCAAAGTGGTTTTCTGTCTGGATCTCCTGCATCCGGATGATCTCAGCCAGCGGGGGAAGAATAGATGGGTTGCAGGTCCCCGTCCTCAGGGAGCTTGTGGTTCTTCCTGGTACAAGAGCGAGGTGATTTGAATCCAGGTGCTTTCGTTGCCAGGTGAAAAGGTGCGGCCCCTGGGGATTTTCAATACCCCATTTGTCGTTGGTGATGGGCCGCCGCCACTGGGGAGAAATCCACCGAGTGAGGTCCGGTTACCCTTGGCATCCACACCTGTCCTCCAAGGATGTGGTTCCTCTATGAGATGATGTGTCTGAGGTTGTGCTTTGTAAACACCAGGCCCTAGGAGGTGGGAACCTAGAGGAACCAGAATCCTAGGTCATTTTTCTCTATTTCACTCCCTCAACTTAACATTTTGTAAGCAGCAAGGAACACCTTTTTGTCTTGGTGTGTGTTTTTAAAATACGCGAATTTCCCAAGAAGGAGGCATATTCTTTGACTCTATATACCTAGTGTCGGCTCAGTTTTAGGTGATCTGGCAAATAGTTTATTTTTAAAGAAGTAATGCATGCACAGGGTACAGGAGACTGTGGAGCGCAAAATGCATTCCTTCCACCTCACTTTCCAGCCAGCATGGTGAGCTGTTTGGTCAGCTGTTTTTAATACCAAGGTACATATTAAGCAGTTCTTTTTCATCTACTCACTGTGTAAATCCATATACATGGATACTTTGTAGAATTTATTGAACAAATGGACATGTAAGTTGTAACCTAGTAGCATTGTTTCTAGAACCTTGATTATTAAACACATACCGTTCTGAAATCTTACCTGGAAAAGACGATGCGTTTTGCAAATCCACCCTTATTGTAAATTTTTATTGAGATCTAATTCACATACCATAATGTCCATTCTCTTAAAGTATACAGTTCATTGGGTTTTAGTATATTCATAGAGTTGTGTAATTATCACCACTATCTAATTCCTGAACTTTTCATTGCCCCCAAAAGATACCCATACCTGTTTTGGTCTCTCCTACTCTCCCCTTTCCTCAGCTCTGGCAAACATTCATCAATTTTCTGTCTCTGTAGATTTGACTATTCTAGATATTTTGTATAAATGGAATCATACAATATGTGGTCTTTTACTGAGCTTTTTACCGCAATGTTTTCATTGTTCACATTGTAGCATGTTCATCCACATTGTAGCATATCTCCATACTTCATTCCTTTTTTAGCACTTCATTCCTTTTCATGGCTACAAAGATTCCTTTATATGGACATACCACATTTGCTTATGCATTCATCAGTTGACGGGTATTTGAGTTTCTGAATTTTGGCTATTGGAAATGATGTTGCTCTCCTTAATGCAGACCTGTATAAAGGATCACAGTTGCCGAAGTCATGAAGAGATAGTTGCCAGGTTTAGTGGCTTTTTAGTAGTATTTTTCCCCCATTCATTTTCAGAGTCTTGGGAACTTAGGATATTTCACAGTTCTGAATGTTAGCAACTGAAAATGCCTGTAGACGATGAAGCTTCTGAAGATGACCCGGATTCAGTTTCTTCAGACAGTGAGAGAACCTACACTTTCAAATGAGAGAGCATAACAGTTTCTGTACACTATGGAAGATGTTGACCTGGTGAAACCCTTACAAAAAACTTCATCTTCTGTAGAATCTGATATAAAAAATTCTCCCTATTCTCTTGGACTGAACTTAAGTACTAATAGGTAAGAATGGGATAGATATATTTAAAAAAATGTATTAACAAAAATAAATTTATTTGCATAGATTATTAATTTATTCAAATAGTATAGTTACTGATTTGCACTAAAAAATAAAACAGTTATGATCAGTAACTGTTCAGGGACAGATAAGAATAGTTTTAGCCCTTCCATGTTTTTTATTTTTGCCAGAGGTAGGTATGTGCTTTTGCATGGAGAACTGTGAGAAAGAACTTGTTTTTGCTAGTTGCACTGATCTTTATACCTTTTTTGGTTTTCAGTAAATTACAAGAATATCTTTAAAATTTAGTTGCCTAAATATTATTTCAGTTTAAAAAAAAAATTTATTTCAGAGAAGGAAGAGATAGAAACATCAATGACAAGAGAGAATCATTGATCAGCTGCCTTTTCCACGACCCCCACTGGGAATCAAACCCTCAACCCAGGCATGTGCCCTGACCAGGAATCGAACCATGACCTCCTGGTTTAAGGTTGACACTCAAACCATTGAGCCATGCTGGCTGGGCTATTTCTACATTTTTAAGTTAACATGATCAATAATGTTTAACAGTGCAAAGGAAGTAGCAATTAAAGTTGAATACTAGGAAGAAAAAACAAAACACCTCATACCAAGCAGACAAAATAGATTCCGTCAAACAATGCATTTTATTTTTAAAACGACCCCATGTTTGGGTTGTTTTTAATCAGAGCCTATTCACTCTGACAAGCTTGATTACTTGCTTTCTAAATTCACAGTACCTGAAAACCAACAAAGAGGCAGGGCTGTCAGAGGAGGTCAGCTATAAAAAGCAGCACAAGGAAGTGTAAAAGGCAGTCCGGTGCCTGCTGGTAAGGGGCGAATGCTTTTACCCACAATAGGCGGAAGCATAAATTGAAGGAGGGCGAAAGGAAACAGCCCAGGCCTGGGAGGTGGTCCAGAGAGATGTCTGCGGGCTAAGCCTGTCCCTCCGCCAGAAGCTGGCCTGTGCTGGTTTCCGGCCGGGAAGCCACTCCAGAACCTGGTGCTGGGTTTGCTGCCGGAACCCACATGTGGCTTTCTAGTGAAAATTACCTCTTTTCACTGCGACTGCAGCTCAACTGGCCACATTTAAATTGGGTTACTATAAATCCTCGATGGACAGCAGGTTCTGTCCTTGTCTCCTTTGAATTTTCATTAATATTTTCTCTGCTTCTAATTCTGTTTTGCTGTTATTTTCATTAGTGTCCTCTCTCTCACACATTCTTAGTGAAACAAAGCAGAGTACCAGTGAAGAAGTGAAAATGGCCTTTCAGCGATGGGAATTTAAATAAACGTTAATGTCCTTAATTATGCTGTTTGTGTTTGAAACAAATCTGAAACGAACTCATCTTCAGTTTGGAAAGGCCGTCCTCTTGGAGAGAATCGGTGTATTTTACACACTGAATAGGCTAAATTCGGCCTCAATATTGGGTGCTAATTTGCTTGGCACAACTTTTATTCAAAGATGTGCAGAGATAAGCATCCGCTTATCACGCCAAATTAGAGGGATCCACTGAACAAGACTCCACTGTCGTTCTGGGCAGCGGGGAGAGAATTTCATTACACCGGAGGGCTGTTCTTAAAGCGCCAGACAGTCCTCTGCAATAACTCAGATCAGAGGGGCTGAGGTGTTGCTTATTATTGGTTAGGAGAAACTTTTGTTTTCTGCTGCGACTTCCGAGTATCCTCTCCCTTTTGAAAAAGGCCTTTTTGTTTGTTCTTTTAAAAAAATTAAATGCTGTCTGTCTTTTTTACTGCTATTTTTCTTTCATGGGCAAACTTGTGATCAGATTTGCAACAAATGAAGTGCCATTAAGAAGGATTAAATATCAGTGGTTTGTACTGCTCTGCTAAATCTTGAATTGCTGAATTATTCAACACTCTGGTAGAATGAGGAAAACCATTTGAATTATTTATGTTTCAACAGAAGTAGCCCCCACCTTAGTACAAATGGGGTATCCTCTTTCTCAGGGAAGACCAGACCGGCTGTAATTCAAGGCACCGGTGAAGCCCTCACCTCTTTCATGCAAGAGCTACAGCACAGCGGAAGGACTGACTCGGAACTTTGGAAGAACTGCGAGGTATCTAGTTTTGTTTTATTTTTTGGAAATTTAAAGTAACTATAAACTTGCCTCTACTTAAGTCTGAATTGTTAGGAATGGAT